GTAGATCCCACCCCACTGATAACAGACCAATGATGCAGACATGGGGAAACATAATAAATATTAAATGCACATCAACGACTGATTAAAATTTGGAGTCAAAGAACTGAAGCCAACAGCTGAGCCTAAACTGTGGCTTTTATCATTTTAACTCATCTTTCAGCTTTTCCGTCCATCATTTTTAAAACTCAGCATGTTTGACGCCTCTCCTCCCATCTCCACAGCTGGGCTGAGCTGTGTGTGACACACTCCAGCTCTGTCACCCCCTCCCTCCCCTCCCTCCCCCCGCAGCTTCCCAGACTAATTGAAGCCAGAACCTGGGAAAATCCTGCAGGTAGGACAGGAATCCGGGGACGGAAAATAAACCAGATCCCAAGCGCCGCGAATTCCATCACGCAGCCTCACTTCCTTCGAGCCGCCGGGAGTCCCGTGACGGCGTGCGCGCCCATTTGACACCACGCACGCTTGCACTGAGCACACGCTTCCAACCTATAAATCACACACTTAAGTTGCAGCAGTTTTTCAGCTGCACGCTGGCAGTGATCTGTCTTCTACACACGTAGGGACATCTCGAGCTGGCTCATTGTACAGCTCATACAGAGCCAGCTGTGATAGATGGGCTTTAACGGGGAGCAGCTCGCTGGAGTCATGAATGAAACAGCCCCCGTGTCATGTTTTACAGTAGAGATGAAGAGGAAGCTGCAGACGAGGCCGGTGTGTGGTGGAGCTCACAGTCACACTTTAAGAAGACACTGCAAGTGTCAGAACGGGCCTGCGGTTTTGTAAATGGCTCACCTGGTCATTATGGCTGCTCCAGTCAAAGAGGCTCACCTCTGTTTGATGTTATTTACTGAGGGCTTTTAAAAGCCTTATTTAATACACCCCCCTCAGGGCCTCTGTCCTCTGCCCTCCCTGGTTTATGTGTGTGAAGTACGGCCACTCTGCATGCAGGGGACGAAAACAGGGAGCTGCTGTATTTGTGAGCCATGAGGGTTCTTTAAATGAAGTGTGACACCTGGTGTAAACCTCTGAGGAGCTGCGCGGGCTGGGGGGCCGTGCACACCGTCAGTGCACCACACTTTTTATCTTTTTCTTCAGACTTTAGGATTTAAGGAAACGTGGAGAGTTAAGGTGATGCCTCATTTAGCTGCAGGTGATGGAGACCAGGTGGTGGCTCAACATGTCCGCTGCCGTCTCGCTGAATTGTGAGTGCTTGTGACCAGACGACCAGCGAGCAGTTTGGCTGCTTTGTGTCACGATCCTCGAGGTTGGAACCCAATTGCAGAGAGATGAGTGAGGCAGGAGTTCAAAAAACCAAAACAATTTATTTCTTTTAACAACAAAACAAAAGGCTGTCGGTGCAGCAAAACTTACTTTTGGCAGATTGGATCAGAAATAATGCAGAGCAGATCATCAGGGGGGGCAGAAACCAGACAAGGCAGAAGAGGATTGTGATGTCTGTGAACATAGAACAATCACCGGACCAGGAGTGAAGGAAAGAAAGGCTTTTTATGTGACAGAGGGAGAGTTAGTAATGAGAGCACCTGGGCAAGTGGCTGATGAGGGACAGGTGTGAATGATAAAGACTGAGTGGAGAAGCAGACTGAGGAATGAGAGGAACATAACAGAAACAGATAAACAGAAAATCACACACAAAGCAGAACAATAAAAAATATAAAAAGCAGACAGAGACAGAAACTTGAAATAGAAGGAATGATTAAGACTGTGGGATGATAGTTTGAAGATATAAATGTTGGTTTCTGGTTGCAGCTTGAAGGAGGTGGAAGAGGCTTGGCAGATGGGGGGGCAGCGGGGGCCGCTGACCGTGACAC